GAGTCCCTGGTATCAGCTCCACATTTCCCCCCCTCCCTGCCCCTGAACCCTTGATAAGTTATAGATTATTGTTTTCACATCTTACATCACCCTCCGTCACCCTTCACCCACTTTTCTGTTGCTCATCCCCCTGGGAGGGGTTATATGTTGATCCTTGTGATCAATTCTCCCTTTCTCCCCCCACTTTCCCCTTATCCTCCTGGTATCTCTATTTTCATTGTTGGCCCTGAGGGTTTTATCTATCCTGGATTCCCTGTGTTGTGGGCTGTTAGCTGTAGCAGTGTGGATGTTCTGATTTGTAAGGTAGAATCGAGGTCATGATAGTAGGAGACATCTTTAAAAGAAAATTGTCATCACTATCCTACTTGCTAATATTTCAGAATTCAGAATATCTGATGCAGGCCCAAACATTACCTATAATGCCATGTTTTGCTCTCAGCTATCTTTTTAGTCTTAAATCGTTGCAGTGAAAAGAGCAAGGCCCTCGATGAGATGGATTGACACCATGGCTGCAACAATGGGCTCACACAGAGGAACAATTGTGAGGATGGCCCAGGACCCTGCAGTGTCTCTGTTGTGCATAGGGTTGCTATGGGTCAGAACCGACTCGATGGCACCTGACAACATTGTCATGTTAGCCACTATCAATCCATCTCATGGAAGGCCCCTCTGCTCTGCCTCTCCACTCTACCAAGCATGAGGTCCTCAAAAGGCTTATCTCTTGATAACATGGCCAAAGTGCAGGAGACAAAGTCTTGCCATCCTTGTCTCTAAGGAGCATTCTGGTTGTACTTCTTCCAGGACAGACTTATTTGTTCTTTTGGCAGACCATGCAGACTTTCAATATTCTCCAACATTATAGTTCAAATGCATAAAGTTTTCTTCGGTCTTGCTTATTCAATGTTCAACTTTGATGTGCCTATGAGGTCATTGAAAATCACATGGCGTGTGTCAGGCACACCTTTGTCCTCAAAGTAACATTCTCATACTTCAACACTCTAAAAAGGTCCTGTGCAGCAGATTTACCCAGTACAGCACATCATTTGATTTCTTGACTCCTGCTTCTGTGAACATTGATTGTGGATCCAAGCAAGCTGAAATCCTCGACAACTTCTTTTTTCTGCTTATCATGATGTTACCTATTGGTCCAGTTGTGGGGACTCTGGTCTTCTTCACATTGAGTTGTAATCCATACTGAAGGCTGCAATCCTTGATCTTCATCAGCAAGTGCTTCAAGTCCTTCTCACTTTAAGCAATTGCATACGTTTGTGTCATCTCCTATCACAGGTTGTTAGTAAATCTTCCTCCAATCCTGATGCTGCATTATTCATATAATCCAGCTTTTCTGATTGAGAATAACCAATAT